CTTATTTACGGTAACAAGGGACGTGATGGGACGATAGTTCTTCGCCAGTTGTCTGTCACCTTTTATACTGGCTTGTGACGCTCTGTTACGGTGTGTCACGGCTAGTTACTACTTGTTACAGGCTGTTATGGCTTGTTACTGTGTGTAGCGGTTTGTGACCGTCTTTTACGGTGTGTAACGGCCAGTTACTACTTGTGGCGGGCTGTCACGACTTGTTACTGTGTGTAACAGCTTGTGACGGTCTGTTGCCTCTTGTTACGGTGTATAATAACTTGTGAATTTAGGATAAAGGCTTGTTACGAAATATGACGGTGTGTTACCACTTATTATCTGTCTTCTTATTGATGTCTTGGCCAAGAGTTGTTTGAGTCATTTACTCGTGTTTGTACCTTGTCTGATTGTGTCGGCTTTCTGTGTTACGTGTTATTAAAACGCGTAACTTTTTTGGGACTGGTTTGCGCGAAAAATATATCTGTCATGGTATGTCTTTGCGTGGTGTCGTCACCAACCATAGCGATATGTTTTCACTTTCTCAGAAGGTTTATTGCCAGCAAGGCTACTGTTTTTTTTTTTTTTGTTTTTTCTCAAAAGGTATTTTCTCAATTTACCACAGCATTCGCACTACCTTCAGTCCAACCGAGTCAAAGGTTTTGGAAGGTTTGAAGTTGTAGATCGACCCAAGCTTTCTCGGCGTCGACAGAATCACACCTGGCCATTTTGCGAGTGTCTAGGACACAAAAGAAATGTAAGTAGTTCCATCTGAGGAATACAAATTGCCTTCGGGGAATAAATGAGCCCCATTTGGGGCGAGTAAAGCCTGTTACGGGAATTATGAAGTTTCTGTTGGGGAATACAAAGGCCCTCTGGGGAATTATTTGAGCCCCATCTGGGAGAGAAAAGTCCGTTACAGGAATTATGAAGGCTCTGTGGGGGATTACAAATTAAATCCCGCCGAAGGATTAAATATAACATCTGTCCTTGGCCAGACTTGTGCGAAAGCTGTGGCGATTTTATGCCAACTTAGGAATTCTACAGCTAGTATTCTGCCTGAAAACTATTATTAAAGTTGCCCCTGAGATCCAAATTTTCGTACTTCACTTTTTTTTCATTTTCGAGTTCAGTGTGTCTTATTCACCCACTCTGCCAAATTTCAGTCTAGACCGCGCACCAGATATATCTTTTTTCTATGGCGTTGCCATATTTTTCGGGCCGTTAAATTCGCGATTTCACGTCCGCCATTATTTGACCATGTTCCGGAAGTTGATCGCAAGACTCAGAGGAAGTGACGTCAAAGGCTCAACGCGAAAATCTCACATGGCAAAATGTCAAGCAAACATAAGACTGCTGTACTCTATTCTTACAAAAACTAAACAAAAATGACGAGGCATCGATGCGTAATCCAAAGCTGAAGTAATCGTGCAGACCATGCTGCAGGTATTTCTCTTCATCGGAGCCTTGCAAATAGATCAGAGAGGGAAAAACGGATTCGATTTGTGTGAACTCGCCGAGTAAACTTCAAACCTGCAGGAATATTTGTGATCTACTCCGAACACTTCTCGGAAGACTGTTTCGAGAGATCTTTGTACTTTGAAGGATCTAGGCGAAGAATTCTGTCGGGTTCAGTGCCTACCGTTCAAAAGAAGGGACAAGAAAAACCGTCCTCAGTGCGATCTCGACGAAAGTGAAGTCTACGAACCTCCACGGGTTTTGTCACCTTTACATATGCGCTGATCAATATCCACCTTTAACAACTCTCTGGCAGAATACCTTATACAAAGGAAAGTACTCGATGAACATTGTAAATAAGAATGATAAAATAGCCGAGTTGAGGAATGAGATTTCTGACCTCAAAGAGCTCACTTTTATATAAAGAGATGAAAAAAATAATTGTTTGCTCTGACTCTGAAAAAAGCTGGCTTTAATATCAGCGAAAGTAGAACAAACAGCTTAAGACACATAGAGCGTAGAAACACTTTAAAATGTAGGTTTGCAGCCAAAAAAAACCGAGAAAATGAAGATTTCTTTAAAAAACGTCACAAACTATCAACCATCTGGCGGCCATTAGTCAGCTTACCGCTACCAAAGGGTCTCAAATTCATCCCAACACCCGTGACAAACGAATGTGAAATCAGGCCAACTTTTGCGAGATTTATTCGCAAGACGAATGCACCTCCGTTACACATTTCACGGACAAAGCAAAGAACCCCTTTTCGTTTCATATCAAACTGAATGCCACCGGTTCGGTCTTCTATCGCCCTACAGAGCTACTTGGAAAATTGTCATAACACAACTTGCAGACTGTATCTAAGCCAAAAAATACTTTGTAACGCAATGAGGTCACGGCTCTAAAAGAGTTGAAACAAACTCTACTTTAAACCTCACCAAAGCAACCCAACAATCGCCATCATGAACAAGATAGAAAAAACAAAAGAGACCAAAGTGCAACTCAACAACTCAACTTCAAACCTCTCAAAGCACCGAGAGTAAAAAACACGCAGGAAAGGGTTAATGAGATCATTGACCAAATGCATCGGGGGAAACACATTAATGGTTTAGAAATGGCTTTCACAAACTCCCAATATCCGCCTTGATACACAATCAGCCATTCCTGAAAGCAATTTTATACATCACTCGAACATTTCTTACAAAAAAGGAAAAACCCTTACGACAAGCAAAAATACAATTCGAAGGCAATAAAGCGATGCGACCACAAAAGCCACATGGGGAGTCCGTGCCGTTCTGTATTTATCATTTTATTCGCATGACAAAAATTCATCGTTTGCCAGCGCAAAACTATCCACAGAAGCTTCAGATGATTTTTGGGACAGTTCATCGTCAGACAAAGTCGACATTTCACGACTGACAACCAAATAGTTCTCAAAAAAGTAATATGTTTGATTCGCTTTGCAGCGAACAAAAAGAGTTGTGACAAAGCAAAGCATAAGTTTGTTAAGCCTTTGACGTCATGATGACGTTTTCTGCTGTACAATTGCGTGCTCGGCTAGTACATGTTTATAGCAACGGCGGACGATTTTTGGACGTCTTTGAAGCGGTAAAAATTAGTCATCGAAGGTTTGTTTTGAGTTTCTTATGGCAAAAAGGGTTTTAACTTGACCCAATTCAACATTCTGTAAAACCATTAGCCCAAAATAAAATGGTCAATTTTCGTCTCAGGGGCACTTTAAGCATCGTTTTGAACAAATCTTTTCATACAAATGAGGTTTAATGTGGGAGTCTCCATTGCAGGCGTACCGCGAATCAGAGGATTTCCTCGACATTTCCCGGGAAAACATAAAAAACGGCGTAGAGACTGCGAGCCGTCCAGAACACTGGTAAAAAGTATCCTAGATTTTATGAAAAAGAGAAAAGTTAGATGCAAGCTCAAGTTCGTTCTAGTTCTTAATTAATACGTCCCTAAATCTTTGACATTACATGGCCTGGCAACTGACTATTAATTATGGTTGTGAGATATTTACACAGATGCAACTGTTTTTTTTTTTTTAACTAACTTTGTCAATTTAAAAAACCCTTAAACCGTATGTCTTTAAGCATTTGTGAGATATCGGCTGGGACAAGCTTTTTAAGTCGTCTCAGAGCTCCGATCTTGGTATAGACCTTCCTTAAAACAGTTGATAGGTGGTCTCGAAGGGATAGCTTATCCGAACGAACACCAAGGATATTCAGAAAGCCACTTGTTTTGATAACGGTGTCGCCAATATAAAGAGCAGGTTCATGAGAGTGGTTACCCAGGATCATAGCTTGGGTTTTCTTGCTGTTGACGAACAAATAATTTGAAGCAAACCAGGATGAGAGGTTCTTAAGATCTTTGTTAAAAAAAAGTTCCAATGCAGAAATGTCTGTGTTGGACGCATAGGCTGTGATATCATCAGCGTAGAGCCTCAGAGAGGTTAGTTGAGAAGAAAAATTTAGATCGTTGATAAATATGTTAAATAGGAGTGGCCCCGCAGAAGGTTACCTTGAGGAACGCCACAATACACCGATAACCAATCCGAGAAAACTCCGTTGACCTTCACTCTTTGCTTACGACCAGACAAGTAAGAATGCAAGAAGCCAATTGCCTCCTCACCAACGCCATAAGGCTTTGGATAAGTCGATTGCAATGGAGCCAAAAACCTTTTTGGAATCTAGTACCAGACGCCAGTCATCAATCATTTTGATCAGAGCCGTGTAGCACGAGTTCCACGAAGAAATCCAGACATGTTAGACGAAAACAAGTGTTGAAATACGTCGTACAGCTGGTCAAACATGACTTTTTCTAAGATCTTGGGTATGATGGACAGAACACTGATAGGTCTGTAATTTGATACTGTGGCATCTTTTTTAAATACAGGTGTCACATGGTTGAGTTTCCACTCCGTAGGCCACGTAGAGGTACAAATGCAGAGATTAAGTAGCTTTGTGAGATGAACTGCTATAGATGGTGCTGAATATTTAAGAATCTTGGGCATTATGTTATAGGGTCTGCAAGATTTGATAAAAATAGAGTTTGGCCGAATGATAAGCTGCCTCATTTGGCCAGAGGGAATGTCTCTAAGGTACTGGCTGACATAATTAAGTGAATGAGGTTCCTCGGTCCCCTCATGGGCATAATGGTAGAAACGGCTGTCAACGCCTTGATGCTTATTCCAAATCATCGTTTTGAATTATCAGACACTTATAATGTGCATGCCCGAGATTACAGTCAAGCACCTCTGCGCGCGGTAGTCGGCGATTGGCTTAAAGTCGACCAAGAGTGCCACTAACTTTTGTTGCGTTTTCGGAGTAGAGACTCCGTTTTCACTTTAAAGGCACGGTGTAGATGGGGGCTTCTTTCAATTTGCTCTTATATTAAAATACACACGACATATTGTTCTCTCCATAGAAAAAAGGTTTCCGCTGATAGAGTGCACTAAACATCTGCGGATTTCGTGTTTGGACAATTCAATTGTCGTTAAACTAAGAAAAATCAAAACAAATCATTTAATATAAAACCAATCCAACAATTTACTCTTAATGTCACCATTCGGCGAACATTTCACTTTAAAATAAATATTTCTCGGCGAAATGTCCCTAGGCGTTAGTATTAAAAAGGTTCTATGAAAGTATATAGTACAAAAAATAAGAACATTCGAAAGTGCATGATAGATTTTGTAATTTTTATTACAAACCGGATTCGAAAGTGCCGATAAATTTCCGTAATTTTCCTTTTAACCATCGTTTGAATATATATATTCCTCATTTCTTCAGATATGTATATAAATGAAGTTCTATTTATAGAGTGTTGCTATGCGTCCATATGAATTGATCACAGCTCAAGTCAAGATGCAGTTATTTCTTCAACAGATTACAACATTAGCCTCGGAGGTTATAAAGTAATTATGCCGCTCAAGTAACTTGACTGGAAAATTCAGTGTTCGTAATGCACGACATAGTCTCATTTCACCAACAACGGTGATCGAATTCGAACTCAAACCTAATGCGGTGACTTGGCACGTTCCTGACTCTAATACTTGACATAGACTGACAACACCAGCATCGGTGATCTGATTAGCACTCAGGTCTAATGAAGTGACTTGACATGTTACTGTTTGTAGTGCTTGACAGAGATTGCAAACACCAGCATCGGTGATCTGATTACCGCTCAGATCTAATGTGGTGACTTGACATGTTGCTGTCTGTAATGCTTGACATAGACTGACAACCCCAGCATCGGTGATACGATTTTCGCTTAGATGTAATGAGGTGACTTGACATGTTCCTGTCTGTAATGCTTGACATAGAGTGACAACACCAGCATCAGTGATTAGACTATAACTCAGATGTAATGTGGTGACTTGACATGTTACTGTCTGTAATGCTTGACACAGACTGACAACAGAAGCATCGGTGACCCCATTGCCAAGCAAACGCAGTTCAAGTAACTTAGATAGCGGCAACATCTCTCCAATCGTAGAATCCCAATTACATAAACCAGCAAATCCCACTACTACTAGCTCAGTGATGGGACATAAATCGTTCTCGAGCGCCTTACGTATTCTTTTTAATCCAGTCGGAGATATAAGATCCCAGTTGATCGTTAATCGTTTAGGTAAGTGATAAGGGGATGGCTGACTCCTATCAGCGGTTTCCTCTGCATTCCTTCTACAACACGAGCACCTAAAGGGACTCAGTCGTTGGACCAACGGCATACGTATCTGTTGGAGGAGTGTTTGATTCTTTCGAGCAGTTTTTGCATCATTCAATGAACTAATGACATCTAACAAAAAAGATAGAGCAATCCAGTCAAACTCGTCTTCAAATCTTATGTCTTTATGGTGCTCCTCGATTCTATATTGTGTCTTTACTATCTCCTGGGCAAATTTCATGTCTTGATACTCAGCAAGACACTTTAAAGTTAGCAGGCTTGTTAAAGGTTGCCGATCGAGTCTTCCAATCAACTGTTGCATTAAATCATTGTCCTTTTGCTTTGATAAGATGCCGGACATAAATGTGAATACCATTTCTGACGTTTGTCTAAGAGAAGGAATCCTTTTATTCTCCACGAACCATTGAGCCGCTAAGTATTCGTGGAGAGTTAAATGTGTGAAACAAAAGTACTTCGTCGTTTCAGAAAATGTTTTTCTAAAAATAGGACCGCAATGAAGGAGGCCGCTCGCTCTCAGACTTTCGACTTCTTCGACGGTAAAGTCCTTCATGTCTTCGACGGCGAAGAGAAACTTATTCACTAAGAGAAAATCAGCTGCTAACTTGGACAACTTCTCCAGTGTTACTTTGGGAGGGGTTCCCCCCTTTTTGCAATGTTTCCTCAAAAACATAGTAACTACTTCAAAGTAGATGTCACTCATGTTGACTGGGAGAGCGTCAGTATTCATCGATTCTATTAACGTGTACTCAAAATACGAACACATCAGAAAACAGAGAACTGGAATGTGGGCAAAGCTGACAAGATTGTCATTCTTTGTGATGTGATCCATTACAGCATTCTTTATGACTTCATTTTCTCGGAAATGCTTTCCGATGTATTCCTTTACCTGTTGCTCGGAAAATCCTGTAACTTCCACGCATCGGTCAAAACTAATTTTGTCTTTGATTTCATCAGACTCATCGGGTCTTGATGTTATCGTGACAACCAAGCCTCTCAAGATTTTTCCTTTAAGTAGCTTGGCACACAGAGCGGCTACTGGCATTTGCTCATGAGCGTCATTCGGATACCGGTCATCCAAATCATTTGCGATAAAATGTTGTTGTGCGTACTCGTCATACCCGTCAATGATGATCAAAACCTCCTCAGGGTGATCAACAATGTACTCAAACAAAGAGTTATCGATACTGGAGCGGTTGTCTAACGCTGAAGATCGATTCAAGATTTCCCTCAGGGTAACGCAGTCGTCTCCGAGTAAATTCAGTTGACGAAATGTTAGCAGATAAGCGAACTTGAAATCAGGATTGTGCAATTTTGTTCGCGATAGAAACAATTTGTTGTCAGCCCAATCTCGAATCAACTTTTGACAAAACAGAGTTTTTCCGATTCCTGCTTTCCCAGTAACAAGAACAGATTTGGGATTCCTTTCCTCGCTACCATTGGTATCAGAAATGAAAATTTCTTGACAGTGTTTGACTGGCTTTTCACTCACTTGACCGTACTGACGAAGGCGTTTCTTTCTTTCCATATCACTGTCTCCCACTGGTTTCCGTCCGTGTTGTATTAGGATACTTGTGAATATGTCATCTGTTCTTACCTTAGACGAAGTCGGAGAAGCTACAGCGTGGAACTCAGTTTGGCTTTTGACTGATTCTTTCAATGCATTTGTGTATGCTGCTACATCTGAAAATTGAATGTCACACTTGAATTAAACGTGTGGAAGAGGAACTTAAAACGGATGCAATGATCTATAAATTGTTCTTGGTGGGATACCGACGGTTACACCAGTCATAGAGTAAACAAAGTTATCACACTGTTCCGACTTTCGGCCACTGTATCAGACAACCACTTCCCTCTCTTCAAGGGATGTAAGGGCCCTACCCACTATGACTGATCATTGTTCATTGGCAGATGATGCCACTGCATATATTTAAGGGAGTGGGGGAAGGGGGACGCCAGGAAACTTCTTAAGCTTAGAGAACTATTAAATTGGTGTTACCAGTTTTTCTCGTTGTCAGGTGGTTTTAATAATGCTAAAACCTCTAAAAAATTACCGATAGAATGAAAGTTTGTCATCTTCCAATTTCCTATAATCCTGATTTAGAGTTTCCCAACCTAACATTTTAAGTCTGAGCATGTTAGTCGAGGTTTCTAGGTTACCTTCCGCTCCTACTTTTCTTTCAGGATTTGATGTGGATTCCATCCGTTCATCTAGCTTCCTGACGATCTCTTTAATTTCATTCAATCCTTCCTTGATGTTGACGTCATCCATTACCCATTGTTTAAGCAGCTCTTTGTAATGTTCCTCAAATTCAGGGTCCATGCTTTCGTTTTCCAGATCATCGACAACAATTTGGTATCTTGCTCCTCCCAGTCTCATCAGTGCAACTTGGATGTCCATCCAGTATTGACTGAATGTTGCATCATCAACTGAGGCCTTGGTGGCATGACCATAAACTGTGTTTCTGCAGCACATGATACGAATGATATCTGCCTCGAGGGTTGTGTCTGCTACAGGAGGAAGTGTGTTCCAGCCGGTTGCCGGAGGAACAAGGCCACAAATGTTCCTCAGCAGAACCATAAGTAGGGTGATATCGAAATGCTGCGATGAAACTGACGATTTGATAGCAGGATACAGTTTGCCCCATTGTGATAGGTTCAAAACCTTTCTTTTCTTAAGTAGTTGTAGAGCTTTGTGAACTGGAGCACTTGACAACACTGTATCCAGCTTCCCTGGTGGACGTGTCTTCTCAAAAGTTTCTCTCAGGACATGTGTACCGACATCCACCAGAAGCCGGCATAATCGGGCGTAATTAGTTGTCTCTTTGGTGGAATGGAATGTTGGTGCAGCTCCAGAAGCCATAGTTAATCATTCCTAAATTAAACACATATAAGATCTCCTCGTGACCAAAATCACGCACAAAAGGGCAGGATAAAAGGTAATACCAATTTATAGCGTTAGTAAATATAGCTATTTCATACATCGAGTAAAGATATATGATCCGTATTTTCATGCCACAAATAAATTTATTCACTGAAAGGGATATGGATATCGCTATTCCTCGAAAAACTCTCTAATATGACCACAAACTATCTCTCTTATTTCCTACCAATTATGTAAACCATATATTATAACCTAAGGAGAATTAGAAAGTGCGACCTCCCTGGCGTGCGCACCAAGCGTTTTCAGCGGCTTTCATCCCGAGCATATGCCGACTAGCAAACAACACTGCGTGAATATTCGACTGATCAAGCCTGCCTAGTATTACTCGATCTTTGCAATATTTTATCTTTTTATAGTTTCTGATATAATTGTAATTATTTATTATATTCCTGTATGTATTATACTCCTGTATGTATCTATTATAACATATTATTACACGACTCGGGCAGTCAGAGGCCCAATAACTAAAGTCAACCAATCAAAATGCTCTATTGCCGGTCCAATATTCTCTAAGTATTGGACCGGGCACTGTCCCGAATGGTCCTGAATGATACCGCACTTGTGTCCCTTTGAACTTCAGTCGTGTAATAAATCTCTTATTAACCAACCTTGCTCGGGACCGTATTGGAAGAATATCGGCCCTTGGTCTTTTTTGTACGGACCTCGCTGCGCTCGGTCCGTACTGTCAATACCTCGGGCCGATATTCTCCCAGTACGGCCCTCGCGCTTGGTTAATAAGATATATGTATTCACCGAACCTGAGGCGAATAATTGTTTTAGTATAATTTCAGA